ATCCTTGAATCTCCTGTTGTAGCCATTTAGAGTTGCCTAAACGCTTGCTGGTACAAAACACCACTTATTTGCACATACAGTATCTCCTCCATTCAGTCTGCAGCCGAACTCCCGCCCCACAGAGCGTCCATTCCTTGAAATATTGTTGTGAAGATGTGCTGAAGTGGAAGTGTGTGAAATGGTAGAAGTTTCTTAAAGCGACAGAGGCCAATTTCAATGTGTTTATATTGGCTATGATGCAAAGTCAAATTTATTTTGGTAATAAACACAGCWTTTTCATAACAACTGAAGGTAACATTGTTACTTGATTGTGGTACAGAATTGAACTATGTGCYTGGAAAATCCATACCCCACTGCTTTAAGAAAACCTGCAGTTGGGTGGTCTTCCAAGGTGTGAGTCAGCACTATGGCTGACGGAAGTGAAAAGGTACTTTTTCTGTTACTACCTTGCCTGGAGGTACAGCGGTACTACAGTGGTGCGGTGTTTCCGTCCCCACTCTCTGCCTCCATGTGTTTTCTGAATGGACTGATGTGGTCAGAACACACRTCATTAATGGTGTAGGGGGTCTTCTGAAAGAGCCTACGACCTACAGATGGCTGTCATTGCTCCTCCGCTATGATCAACTGCTCAACTGAGATGAATGTCATGCTGCTGTAAAGTGATATGGAAACATTTTTATGAGTATATATAGATGTATACTGTCGTAAAAGTGTGCTAACATTTACATAAACATGCAACCTGCCATTTGGTATTATTTTTTTCTTAACTCTGACAGATCTGTGCATTTTCATTTATTTCAAATACAATAAACACTGATGGATTCTAGGAAATGTTTTAGAAATTTTATGTCTGAAAATCAGAATTTGTTGGTGATGCATGGGATGTTTTGGACCGTCAAGATAATTAATCAAAACATCTAAAAGTGATTAAAAACTTCCAGTCTGCTCTGTTGAAATATGAAGTTCTTTAGCAGTCTGGATAAAGTGTATAGCGTTTTGTTTGTTTTATTTTATGTTTTAATTTGCCAGATTTATAGACGTAGTTTTGGGAGGTCCTGAAGAGATGGTTAACAAAAGGACAAAATACACTGTAGACAGTTGAAAGGAGAAAAATGGGAAGACAAGAAGACTTGTATGATCAGTGGGTCTCATGAATAATTTAATGAGACACTATTTTGCTGTAAGAAAGCCAGGGAGGGGCGTTTCCTCTTGTAATGATGTTTTTTTTTTCCTTGCTGGGGCTTCCTGTTGCGTGGTATGATCTGCTAACCCAAGCAGTATTCTGCAGTGGCATAGTAAATCGAATGCACGCAGAACAGGGTAGGTTATATAACACTACTCCATTCTGGCAGCTTCAGCTCCACAGCTTCAAAACAATTGCCCCATCCATCTCCCTCCCCTCCAGACGAGCGGCAGCAGCAATGCTACAAAGCGGACTCCTCTCTCATCGACCCGGATGAGCTGATCCCCCTCCTCCCTTTCCTCCGGCTCTCTTCCTGTTCGCTCCTCCTTCCCTCGTTCCCTCCTTCACTTTCTAATCTTGCTCCTTCCTTCTCCTCTTCTGGCTGTGGATGCCCTCCTCACGCAAAGGATGGACTCAGGAAGGGAAGGAGGAGAGGGTTGGATGGAGGACCAGTGGGAGAAATGGTAGGGCATCATTTTTATTACTTCACCAGTGAGCAGCAGCGTGGCTGTGTGTGACCTTGTGAGTGTGTTACAGTCCCTCTTCTGGTTTTATAGCATCTTCTTGCATAAAGCTCAGGCAGGCAAACACATGAAGATCAGATGCATATGGCTGTGTGCACATTTGGGTTTGTAGAAGAGAAGCAGAACTTGCAGAYGTACACGTTGATTTAATCAAGAATAGGAGCAGAGAAGCCACAGATGTAAACAAATGTAACATTTCATGTTCGTGTATTGGTAACATGACAACAGTCCAGCTGCAGAATAGTTCATGACTTTGTGTCTAATGAGTTAGTTTCAATCCAGGGGCTGCTTAAAAATGGTTTTATTTATTCAGATGTGTTAAAGCTGGGAGCCTGCAGATCCTGATCATGCTTCATGTCCTGTCCTTGCAGGAGGGCAAAACTAATGAATGGCTGTCAGCGTGCAGTTCTTGTAATCTCTCAAAGGAACAGAAGCATGTAACGTGCAAATTATCTGTATATGTGGTGTAAAAGGCTTAAAAAAGAGTACATGAGACATGCAAACACCAACTAGAGCAAGTTATGTGTGATTGTATTGGATCAAAACAGATATTTGTCTAAGTAGGTTTGTTACTTGGCAAAATATTTCGAGAATGTTCTTTAACATGGATATTCTCCTTCCAGTATTGCATCTACAAATATTGCACTTGATGGAAGTAAAATGTGATTTAATTATTTTTTGCCTGTGTCTCTTTGCTTGTATTAGTAAAAATGTCTAATGAGCCACTAGACCAACTCAATCTTAGAAAGTAATCAATGGGTGTGTGTCTACAACTGATTAACCTTTGGATTCGACCTGATTTTAGATGGTCACGCCTGCTGACCTTAGCAAATACAAAAATGGGTACATAGTAAAGTTATGGTACCAAATTTAACTCTATTAGTTAAGGGTGTCGCAATATCAGTTTTTCTCAGAGTATGAGAACTTCAGTTTTTGTACTGAGCAATACTGAGTTTAAGTATTTTATTTAAAACAGTGTTGCTCTCCTTCCTTATAGACCTACAGTGCCTCTTACTGGATCAAATCAAATGGTTGGTATTTGTTCCAAGTGTTTTGTAGTATTAGTAGTGTTTTGTACGAGTTGGAGTACTTTTAAATATGCTTGTATTGGGCCCAATGCAGATACTAGTATTGATAACAGGACACCATCAGTATTAGTTGGCTTAACACTGCAATCTTTACTGTGTTTAGCTCCTTCAAGATTTAGATATTGCACTAAGTTTTGGTATGGTAGTAGTTGAGAGTCAATCACAACACATAGTCTGAGTTCTGTACATTGTGAAACATTTTTATGTTTAACTTTTGCCTCATTTGTTACAGCCAGTACTGTCAATCTCTTAGCAAAAATATCTTGTAAACAATTACATATTTAAAAAAAAACTCTAACAAGGTAATCGTTGGATTTGCATTTAAAACTTATTATTATTTGGATTCAACCTAATTCTAGATGGTCATGACAGCAAATCAGCCTTAGCAAAGACAAACATGGCTAACACGTAGACACATTTACAAATATTAAGCTAACTTTGGTGCAGAGGCAATTGAATATCATCCCCAACTTGTACTTCGAGTTCTAACACATCTCATAATATCTCATCAGCTCCTGCATAATTTTATTTACGAGCTCTGCTCATAATGGCTACAGCTCTGCCTTTTGTTTTTGGTTTAAAACATTGTCCTAAAAGAAGATGGACGATATGTACTCCCATCACCGTTCATGGCAGAGTCATGCAAGGAATGCATATGTCTATTCCTTTTTGGGGAATAGGACATCACACTGACCACAATGTCACTTGACATTTTATCTTTTATAAATAGCAAAACATGTCTAAAATGTTATTTACTTTCTGGAATAATAAACTTGCAGGCACAATAAATGTATGTGTATGAAAAAAGTAAAAATTCTCACATGACTAATAAATGACCTTGTGTGATGCATGCAAAATCCTTACACTTGTCACTGAGCTGTGGATAATATTTGTGTTGATGCTGAGATACTGAAATCTGGATTCAGTTAAGGACAAATGAGCTGGTTTGGTCACATCATGTCCTGAGCGTAAGGTCATACTGTCCTTGGTTAATACACACAGAGAGGCACACTATAAAGACACAAAATAGCCAGCTGGCTGCCCCGTTGTCTCCCGTTGTCAGTAAAACACTACAAATTACCCCAAATCCACTGTGATATAAACTGAAACATCACTCCTACAGTGTTGTTGTCATCTGATGTTTCTTACAGCATTATTCCTCAGCAGAGTATACCAAGGGGCTTTTAGAAAATGGGATCTTGGCCAAGAAATGACCAGATATGGAAGGAATGGAGGATGATCAGATTTGGAAGATCAGATATGGTGAAAAACCAATCATTGTCTCAAAAAGTACATGACTATTTTTTTAGAAGACGTCTTTTTTTACATTTTAATTAAGAAAATAATTACTGCTTCAAAGTGTTATGAGATGCTGTCTTTCGGGAACTTAATATTGAAATATATTACTGTCTGTTACAGAACTAATGGCTCTCCACAGTTCCAAGCCTTTTCCACCAGCAAGGATTTGTAGTAACAGTCCTTTTTTCCACAACTTAATTTCTTGTGTTTCCAAGTGTACCATGGTTTCATTTAAAAGATGGTTAAAACTGTGTCCAAAGCATGAAGCAAAAAGTCAATCAGTGTGTCAGTTGTTGTTGATGTGTTTTTTTAATATAAGAATTTTGAAAAAGAAGAAAAAAATGAAAGAGCATGTAGCCATATCACAACACTGTGCAGTATTATTAATAATTTCTCCTACATTATGGCATTTTTTATTATTGTTCACTAAAACTTAAAGGACACGTCCAAATAAATTTGCTAATATTTTAATTAGAACTGTTTCTATATGTTTTTATACATTTTTTAGAATTGTTTTCAAAAATCCAAGTAATTGTCAAAAYGACACAATTAAAAGCGGTATTTTGTTTATATTTCATATATAAATATCACACACAGTATATAAATAACATATACACTCTAAAAAGTGAATGATGAATTTACATAACCGAGTTATGTCTACCGGCTCCTCTCAACTGAGAAATAAATGTAAATGTAAAGCAATTTAATCATTTTCTTTGAAAATTAAAGTAAATTCAACATTGTCATTTTAGAGTGTATATGCATTTTGTTATATATAAGTTTTAATGTTTGTGTGTTATTCAATCAGAGTTCTAAATTGGCTTCCATCAGGTGCTAAGGGATCACCACCTCCCAGCCCCATCTCTCTCTTCCTCTGCTCACCTTTATCCCACTTCTCTTCATCAGGTTGACACATGATATCAGTCTGGATGAGTTTGAAGATGATGACCTGTCAGAGATTACAGAGATCACTGATGAGCGAGGGATAAGTCTCAACTGCAATGGCCCAGATATAAAGGTAAGATACCCCCAGAGAGTTTCACATGCAACAATTTGTTCCTAATACCTGAACAGGTAATGAGATTCATGCTCATGTTGTGTGTATATACTGTATGTGTTGATAAAAAGGTACTGGCTTCTGATTATCAACAGCTCTGCTCAGTTCTGTGCTAAGCAGAACTAAAACTCCCACAACAGTATATTATATATGTGTATAAAAGCTGCAGATTGGATTAAGATAAGATAAGATAAGATAAGATACGATAAGATAAGATAAGATAAGATAAGATAAGATAAGATAAGATAAGATAAGATAAGATAAGATAAGATAAGATAAGATAAGATAAGATATGATAAGATAAGATAAGATAAGATAAGATAAGATAAGATAAGATAAGATAAGATAAGATAAGATAAGATATACCTTTATTGTCATTGTACAGAGCACAATGAAATTACAGTTCAGAACACCCATTCGGAAGAAGACAGAACATAACAAACATAGCAAAAGCATCCAATTTGAAATAAAGAAAGCCTGCTATTAATTGGCATTATATCTTTGTTGTTTAGCACAAAGACAATTGTAAAACAAACCACCACCAAAAATCAAGCTTAAACAGAGCCTATCAGTTGTCTAATTAATTCCCCTGCATTAGGTGTTTTGACTGTAATTTCAAGCAGGAAAGAGATTTGTTAGCTAAAATTGCCTTTAGCTAGTCCTTTCGCTGAAGTCATTTCACAGAAAAACTTTGGTTTTGCTTGTTTTCCCTTTTGCAGGATTTGAATATTCTTTGGTTTATATGGCACCAACGTGTTCACTTCCAGTTTTTCCTCCAAAGACACAAAGGAAAACAGGAAATGTATCAAATAATCCATAACATAAACCTTGTTTATGTTAATCATGCTCACCATTGTTTCTACTCAGTCTTCACTAAACCACACCAAAAACACTTGTGCTCAAGGCACATTGTACGTCCACACTTATTGACTAAACCTGTGGCCTTAGGTTAAACAGAATTAGCTCCAATGAGYAGCAAACTGAGGGGGCATGACATCTGTCAGTCATTCAACAGGAAAAACATTAAATGAACGGGTTTGTGAAAAGTTATCCCTTTGGAAAGATTGAGATTTCTCTAGACTGTTTGGCAGCAGTTTTGTTGTAAATTTTAAAAAAAGTGATACAATATTTTTAATTTGTGTTTATTAGGTTTAATATTTTTGTTGTAGCCCTACTAGCCCACTTATACCAGTTGTCCCTGTATAACTAGAATTCAGTCAGTTTTACAGATTTTAAACTAAAATTGGTATGATAGTAGCTGAGAGTCATTCACAACACATAGCATGACATCTTATGGCTTTGCCTAGATTGCTCATAATGTTATGTTCAAGGTTTGAGCAAAACAGCTATAAGTCCATTCCCTCTCATCATATGATGATCATAGTATAAAGCACCCGCAACATACGGAATAACCACTGGGCTCAAACCCAGACCCAAACCAGTGGTTATTCCATATGTTGCGGGTGTTTCGGAGAAACTGAGACATTTATTTTCTAAACATGATGTCCCAGTGGCTTTCAAACCCAAAACACATTACGGCAAAGGCTGGTTCACCCCAAAGATCCGGTGCCCCGGCACAAACCGAGCAATGTTGTATATGCTGTTAAGTGCCAGGAGGACTGCGACCWGTTATACATCGGGGAAACAAAGCAGCCACTGTTCAAAAGAATGTCCCAACACAGACGAGCTACGTCTAATGGCCAGAACTCTGCAGTTTTCACTCATTTACAGGCCAGCGGTTACTCTTTCAGAGATGAGGATGTTCTCATTCTTGATAGAGAGGAACGTTGGTTTGAGAGAGGAGTAAAAGAAGCCATTTTAGTGAAGAAAGACCGTCCATCATTAAACAGAGGTGGAGGCCTCCGTTTCCAGTTGTCCCCCTCTTACAGCGCGGCCATTGCCAGTATCACTCCACCCCCTATTAACAATAAGTGTTAATTAGGTGTCAACGATAGCCATGTGATGTGAGTATCAGTCACACGGAGGCAGGGCTTAAAAGCCTGAATTTTGCCTGAAACTCTCAGACTGAAGAAGTCTCTTGGAGGAGAGACGAAATGTTTCATTAGAGAAGAACCCGTCCAGAAGACCTACACAATTTTTTTCTTTTTGATGTTTTACCTGGATTACTGAGATGCATCAGGATATTTAGAGCATAGATTGTTGTTTTTAGTGTTTTGTCCCAAAATGATGCTGCTGACTTTCTGTGTGTAGAAGTGACTGGCCAGACACAGAGAAGAGTGATCAAAAACAAATTGACTGTAGTGCTCTATTTTAGTTGTCTAAATAATTGACTAAAAGCTGTTGGTTGGATTCTAAAAGGTATCAAATAACTAAACGTTTGTCAGAAAATATTGAAATGAAACATGGAAGCAAGTGTTAAATACAACCATACGGAGCTGTGTGGAGGGAGAGAATAGCCAAAAGTACACTTGTTATTCTGTCGGATCCCTCCTGCTCTGTTCCCACTGAACCGTCATCACTTCCTCCTCCATTCAGCTCTGCTCCAGTATCCTAGGCAACAGGGTGCAGGGGGTGCCAACATTTGTGACTCTTATTTTATCTGCTGAGGCCTGAGTGACAGAAAAATRCAACAAATCACTGCRAGGCTCAGAAGCCTGTTCTCTTTCGTTGCTTTTTCTTATCCTAACCTGGGAGCTAGTTATAGCTCACATGACTCTCCAAGAGATGTATATGATGTGTGAACGCTGATGACTCATACTCTCTCAGGGACCTTGCAAGGATCAAAATTCAAAATGTGCTTTTGAGTGGCAAACAAGGAAGCTGTGACACCAGAAACCACAAGCCTTATGTTCATTGTGTCTGGACTCCTCAGGCCAGGAATGTATCTGTAGAATCGTTGTGTGTTCGTTGTTAAAGGTTGTTTTAATCAGAAGTTTGGGTGACAGTATTTTTCCAGGAAAGAGTCAAATGTGGTGGCTGGTGGATTTTTCTCCAGGGGGGGCTACAACTCCAAAATAGGCTCATCTCCAAAAGCAATCAAACATGTACCAAGTTGTATCACGACAGTGTATTTATTAAACAAATGAAAATAATAAAACAGCATTACAATGTCATGTAGTGTTTTATTTTTTGTACATAAATTTTGCTCTTCTGTTACTGAGAAGCAAATTTCTTCATGACTCTGGTTAAAGTCAGGGATGTTTTAACCAGATTATTCTCTATATAGCATGGTCAGTGCAGTGAGGTGTGATGTTGTGTACCTGAGGAAAGTCTGGATTCTCTTCAGTGTTGAGAAGCTCCTCTCAGATCCAGCTGTGGTCAGAGGAGATGTGATGAGAATCTTCAGCAGAGTCACAGTCTCTGAAGGTGTCTTGGTCTTCAGTGCTGCTTCAAAGAACTGTCCTGCAGGAACCTGTCTGCCTGCAGCAGTGTAGCACTGATCAGATGCTTTGTGAATGGCGCAAGATGGTGTCACAAACCTAAAACAATAAATGCACAAATTTTATTCAATATGGAGATGGCTACAAGTGAGCTTTATACTATATATAGAGAACAATTATTATTTTAAAAGCAACAAATTATTTACTTATTATTAATTATATATTTTTTWAAAATGTATTCATTTTATTAAAAAACAAAATAAACTATGCACAACAGAAGAAAAAATATCAACAAAATGAAAGGCAGCAGAAAGAAGAAAAATATCATCTAAATATCTGCTGCTTTTCAAGAATAAATTCAAACAATAGTAATTTACAAAAAACAAAACTAAACAGAAACAACATAAAAATATCTTTATATTATATTGAGTTGTGTTCACCATTACTTATATGCTGGTCAACAATAAAGGGAACACCAACACAATCTAACTACACCCCATTCTTGCTCARTTTTATTATGTCTGGCTTATCCAGTCCAAGCTACTTCACTTTAAGTTTCTCCTCATATATTCTGCTTTGAAAATGTTTAKCTATAAGGGACYTAACTGTGTTGTTTTTCTCCTCCATTTTCTCAACTAGTTTCGTTTCCAAAATCCGCCTCGTGATCTCTGCCTGCTGGCCGTCACACTAATATGACGTTGTTGAGTCGTCAACACGGGTTGAACCCACTATGTACTGCTTTGAGTTCGCAGGTCAGCTGCGAACCCAGGCCACCCTATTATTTGCATTGGGGACTTACTGCGCATGTCCAAAATCTTCACATAAGTTGTATATGGGAGTCTGGGGCTACGAACCYAGCGTGACCTGGAAGTGACTCACACGAAAATGTTCATGAGTAAAACAAGTTTACATATCAGTAAATATAAATAATTTATTTTGCTTATTAGAAAACATATATACGATATTTTGTCGAAACATTTATAACATTTTCTTTTGTTATTTTTATTTTATTTTTGTGTACCAAAAGTACGGGAGGTGGCGAACGTGGGCCCCCTATTGACCAGCCGCCACTGCTGGTATCAGTAATCTYTTTTGTTTTTCATTGTTCCTGCGTGAGTGCTGATCATGGATTGTGTACTTTAGGTTCTTTTTTTATTTTAACTGGTCATACAGAACATAATGGGAGTCATAATTTGTTTTAAAATTCTCTACTAAAATATTTCACGCAGAAGTTTTGAAACAGATGAGAAAAAAAAATCATAAAAAACTTTTTTTTACCCTCACACTGGAAAATTAGTTCTCCAACAAATGATTGTTGTAGGTGCTATGCATGCCTAAAGCTATGTGTAATAGCTATAGGTCTTTTGTCAAATGTTGTTGAGTGTAAAGTCCACATTCTTCTTCTTTTTACTCTACTGGCAATTAATATATTTGAACAACTTAATGAAAGGTTTAGTTATAGTTTATAAAGCAAGAATTTCTAACATTGTTTTTTTTCTGAACTTGCTAATTGAAAAGGTTTTGTATGAGGTGTTGGTGTTCGTCACCTAAATGTAGTAATATTGCTTCACACACAATCAGAGGTGAATAACAACAAAGTGCATTTTCTTTGTTACAGTA